AAAGGGGAAGTTTCAGCGGAAAGGGGAAGTTTCAGCAGAAAGGGGAAGTTTCAGCGGAAAGGGGAAGTTTCAGCGGACCAAGGGGAAATTTCACAGAAAAGGGGAAGTCCTACCGGGAATGGGGAAATCCTACCGGAATAGGGAAGTCCTACCGGGAATGGGGAAGTTTCATCGAAAATAGGGTAATTTCTACCCCCTTTGCGAGGAAACTTCCCCAAAACTATTCCCTAGTGTGTCAGCGCGGAGTAACTAGCGTACAGGCAAATGCGTGTAAATACGATTATTTTAGTGAATGAAAAACAACATGAAATGTTCGTTATGCATAAACATTCGTTGTTTTCGTGGTTGCTATTGAACCACGAAAATGAACACAACGAATTGGAATGCTATACGTGTCTACTGTTTGTTGATATAGGATATCCACGAAACTTTGTACAGTACCACGAAACGATCTAAATAGGTTCAAACCACGAAGGAAAGTACCCACGAACATTTCGTGTTATTCAGTATTTAGGGTGTTTTAGTAAGACCGAGACAATGCGATTGTTTTCCTATTATGTTCATATTGTCTAGTGACAGTTGTTATCCACTCTGGTCTTGTATATATGTTTCTTTACATCTGTTGAGAATGAGATGCATCCAAACCTTTTTGGTGTAAATCTTTATCTAGATTAATTTTGAATTGTTGCCACAGCACGGACCAGCGTTCGATTCACTCGATACAAAATGCACTCGATACAAAATGATCCTTTCAGAAACGAATTATATCTAGTGAATCAATAGAAGTAGTAGCTTGTATGTTGTTTAAGTTATCTTTTTACGATCTACTGTAATAACAAACTAATGATAGTTCTCAAAGGTGATGAGTATGCCGTGCACTTTACACAATTGTATATTACGTTTTTAGGAATCCGGGGTACCTGTTTCGGACATGGTCATTGACAAGATCGTCAATTTTCTGGACGAGGATGGAGACGGACATATCGACATGAGGTAATTCACATGGGGACGCTACCATATAAATAAATCTTATGATAAATTAAAGACATGTTGAGTAGACATTTTTGAGGTGGTAGCACTGGTACATTTTGTACGTTCAAATTAATGCAGGGTAAGTATTCTTCAATATCCGTTCAAACACTAAATTTAAGTGCTTTAGAAGTTTGCTTTTTTATACAAACTAAATGTACTTGCTCATTTTACACGAACTTTATGTGTTTCTGACGTATATCTCTACAATTGCACTTAGAATGTAATGCATGCTTCGTCTGTTTATATCATATTCCGTCTTTGTGTATTGCAGAGTTATCTTCTCTTAGGAGCAGGTATTGATTGTTACGTCACTTGTTTGTGAGAGCAACGTCATCAATTTTTGAGAAAACGACGTAATTTTCTCACGCAAACCAATGACGTAACAATCAATCCCTGCTCCCAAGAGAAGATAACTCTGCAATACGCAAAGACGGAATACTGGTACATTGATATGATAGGTATTCGGTTTGATACGTTAGTTGCCAAATGTTTATAGCGACATGCTGTTTATAAAGACAAGATGATGTTAAATGTCATCTTCGCTAGCCAAGTGTTTACGAAACGAACACTTGGCAAGCGAAGATGGTTAAATGTGGGTATTACAATTTCTGTTCCAATAAGGGAGTTCCTTGCCGGAGACAAGAAGATGAGGAAGATGTCCAGAGACACGAGACGGACGGGAGACGATGACATCAACAAGTATTCACGGTCCTTTAGGAAAGGAAACATCGACCCGATGACATTCAGACTCAAGGTGTCGAACGCGCCTAACCTTCTGTCCCCCGTGCTGTCACGAGAGTCGTCTACAAGTGGCGATTCTCAAAGGAAACTGTCTAGTTGAAACAAGCATGTGACATCGTGACATGGGAAAACGGGGTTTAAAACAGAATATTCCGGTTGACAGTCATGGTGGCATCAACAGCCTTAAGCTGTGTTACATTCGTGATCCGAATCCGATTAATCCATAGTCTTACAAGCAGTGCAATGATTGTCGAACTGGATATCATTCAGAACGGATACATTTTTTAAACATTATGCGGAGACGTATAAGGTATGATAGAAGGGGGGCAACTCAGTTATACTTATTGTGTGTAAGACTGTTGGCGACCTGGGAAGACCCGATCAAAATAGAAAGTGTTAGGGTAGACTAAACTGACTCTCTATGCTTACAGAACCAATAAATATGCCTGGTTGAATTGTGGCGGTGAAAATAGACCAATATCAGATGTTATCATTTTGATTGATACATACATGTATATATACAATGTAATCTACGAAAACAAATAATGTTTTATACAATAAACAATAAAATTGATGATACTAACAGACAAATGTTAGCCGTTATTGGTCAATGTTAAAAAAACATCAGCCATAATTATGTCGAGGTAGCATATTATGCCAGGGGCGTTTCTAGGATATTTGAAAGAGGGGGCGTAGAATCAAATCTTTCGCCGAGCAGAGCGAGGGTAAAAAAATGTTGGACCTTTTTTTTTGCTAAAAAACATAAAATAATTGTGAAATGCACTAATGTAACTAATGTTCCTGACTTGGAGCATGTATATTTTATAGTTAAAGTGTCAGGGTTTGACATTTGTATGCCGAATTCTCTCCATTAATTGTCTATGGTATATTAAAATGATTGGATGGATCTTAACAGCAGTAGACCAATAACGAGAAATTCCAAATTCTAGGGTATAAGGCGTTACTTAACATTTCAATAGTCCTAGGCCAGGATTTTATGAACGGGAGGCGTAATTACGGTTGCCCTGGCAGAGGGTCCATGGGGAAGCTCAGAAGCTCCTGGATTTCAACAATTTAGCATCAAATTATGAAGTAGCCAGACTAATAAATATCTCTCTATTTTAGATTAAGTTCTGGTTTCGTTGAACGACACACATGACAAGACAAACAAACACTGAAGTATAAAGTTCTTTCGTTCTAAATATTGTATGCTTTAATGTGGAATACATGATTGAATATGATAAATTGCCATATTCAATACAATATTAGCAGATTACGATATTTTTTTATTTTTTTTTGTACGCCCATTACGCCCTCACCTGGACCCGCCTCTGTATTATGCGTTCTAGAGCTGGCTGAGAACGACTTAAATTGGGTATACAGGTTAGCAGTACCATGAAAGGTTGTTGTAGAATTTCAAAATATATTGCATGCTATTTTTCTGTTATTTTATATGTTTCGAACATGTTTGATAGTTGTTTTTATTCTATCGTTAACAGGTCCTAACCATGAATGGTGTCTCAACTAAAAAGCGAATCCGATTGTGTGCATTGTTATCGTACCAGTCAGACTTTTCCCGATACAGAAACCACAATATGAATTGAGACCGACAGGTTACGGTACTGGCTGTTAATATGTCAACGGTTTTTGATATATATATTTTTTATTTAGTATAACGTGTCACTATCAGATGTGAGTAAACATACTAGAACACATTATTCTGTAAGAACCATCACATGGATGATAGACATGTTATATATTTTATAGAAACACACTTTTGGAGTTACACATTTTAAATATTTATGTAGGCTTCCCAGAATACCATATACTGCCCTGTTGTGCTATCTTGCTGGGCGTTCCTTATTTGATCCACTTGGACTACATTGTTTCATGTCAAGGAATTTGAAATTAAGTCATATATTATCGTAAACAGAGCAACTCAGTTACTAAACTATTGGTCACTTTAAACTTCAGAAACACTTATAGTGTTTGTAAACGTTTTTCTAATCTTCTGTTCAAACTGATTTAACGTAGCACGACCCGATACTTCCATATTTACCAGGGGATTTTAATATCGCCAAATGACCCTGACCTTAAACTAGTGTTAATCCGATTAGTGATAATACTTAACACGTATTAATGACGGGCTAATATAGGGACCTGTGTTGAATGCCCTTTAATCTTATTATTGGCCAATCAATATTTGAAAATAACAGATTTTCAAAATATTGAATATATTTAGATTACAGTTGATCCCGAGATTGAGAATGCAATTAAAAGCAATTTTCAACCATTTTTCCTTCATTTTACCGCAGCTCCCGATTTATAATGTCAGAACATAAAAAAAAATTAAATTTACAAGCTGTTTAAAAAATACTTAAACGATTTTGGCCACGTTTTTTTTTACATTTTGTAAAATTAAGCGATACTTTAATAAATACAGAATCATCCATCAAGGCGCGTTTAGAAGTGTCCCGTTATTTAGATATAATTTAATATTGCTTGTACATGTAACAGGCATTTTCATTGGCTTACAATTTTATGTTACCAGCCAATAACGTAAAAAACGACGTCGCCGTTATTACGCTGCTGTATCAACCAATCAGTAATAATTTCTAAGAGAAAAGATTCCATCAATATAAGTGGATTTCCACAGGGATTGTGTATAGTAGATTAAATTATAAGAATTGACTTGAATATATGTTTTATGTTATGGAGCTATAACACAAAAAAACGAAGTGTACTCTCATCATAAACCATCCAATCCTTTTGCATTTTTTGGCAATAAAATATGTTTAAACTAGACTAGAGACATTCCGTTTTTTGTGTTATATCTCCATAACATGAAAAACATATTCAAATTAATCCTTAAATAGGCAATCAAAGGTGACCGCTCCTTACTGACGATAATTTTAATGAGCTAACAGGTCACGTGGTACTTGTGACGTTCGAGTGGCACGCTTGTATCACTGGTCCATATAACAGTAGCTAGGGTCCATGAGCTACACCCTCCTATATATTTCTGATTTGATTCAATTGACACGTCTGACAGTGTGATTCTTGGCATAAACTACATACTTATGCATTTCTCTATCAATTTAGGTTGAAAGCAGAACGAAAACAAATCACTATTTACGTAAATATTTACATCGAAGGACGATTCTGATATATATATATATATGGCAGGGACGTAAGATCTACAGAAGTAAAAATAAGTGGACAAATACCTTAATAATAAAAATGAACGAGGAACCGTTACGAACTGTATATCAAATGGGAGTACTCCTAATATTCTAGGAGTCAAGAATTGTAAACATTAGTTCAATACTTTTGTTTACAGTCTACCTAACTGAACAAAAATCAAGTAACGCGGGGATCACTGTATTTTCAGGTGTTTTATATTACATGTAATGACTTAAAAAGACCGCATTAGTAGGTAAAGGTCAGCAAAACCTCTCTATTTTAATACAATCTCAAGTGATGTAGGTATTTATATGTCGCTATATACTAACTAAATTTTTAATAACAATTTTCATTTGATCTTTTTGCCTGTATAAATATCAGCATATGGTAGTTATATAAGTAGTCCGTTTTATATCGTTACCATGCAGTTTATAGCGTTACAAACTACAGTAATCCTAAAAGGATCATAGCGTGTTCTTAATTTCCGACCAAAGCCCTTCGGAGTCATGCATACACCTATTACAATACCTAGATATGGTGTAACAGGTGGTAATATTTACAATATCAATTGTAAATTTGTGTAATCCCGAATAACCGGTTGTTAATTTCTCCAATACACATGTAATGATACAGTATCGAGTAGAGGAAGAGAAATAACCCATAAATAGTATACAGCCAACACAGAGGGACGTAGTACAGCCAACACAGAGGGACTTAGTACAGTCAACACAGAGGGACGTAGTACAGCCCACACAGACGGACGTAGTAAAGCCCAAACAGAGGGACGTAGTACAGCCAACACGGAGGGACTTATTAGAGCCCACACAGAGGGACGTAGTAAAGCCCAAACAGAGGGACGTAGTACAGCCAACACAGACGGACATAGTACAGTCCACACAGACGGACATATTACAGCCAACACAGAGGGACATATTACAGCCCACACAGAGGAACGTAGTAAAGCCCAAACAGAGGGACGTAGTACAGTCCACACAGACGGACATATTACAGCCAACACAGAGGGACATATNTTTTTTATGCCGAATTCTCTCCATTAATTGTCTATGGTATATTAAAATGATTGGATGGATCTTAACAGCAGTAGACCAATAACGAGAAATTCCAAATTCTAGGGTATAAGGCGTTACTTAACATTTCAATAGTCCTAGGCCAGGATTTTATGAACGGGAGGCGTAATTACGGTTGCCCTGGCAGAGGGTCCATGGGGAAGCTCAGAAGCTCCTGGATTTCAACAATTTAGCATCAAATTATGAAGTAGCCAGACTAATAAATATCTCTCTATTTTAGATTAAGTTCTGGTTTCGTTGAACGACACACATGACAAGACAAACAAACACTGAAGTATAAAGTTCTTTCGTTCTAAATATTGTATGCTTTAATGTGGAATACATGATTGAATATGATAAATTGCCATATTCAATACAATATTAGCAGATTACGATATTTTTTTATTTTTTTTTGTACGCCCATTACGCCCTCACCTGGACCCGCCTCTGTATTATGCGTTCTAGAGCTGGCTGAGAACGACTTAAATTGGGTATACAGGTTAGCAGTACCATGAAAGGTTGTTGTAGAATTTCAAAATATATTGCATGCTATTTTTCTGTTATTTTATATGTTTCGAACATGTTTGATAGTTGTTTTTATTCTATCGTTAACAGGTCCTAACCATGAATGGTGTCTCAACTAAAAAGCGAATCCGATTGTGTGCATTGTTATCGTACCAGTCAGACTTTTCCCGATACAGAAACCACAATATGAATTGAGACCGACAGGTTACGGTACTGGCTGTTAATATGTCAACGGTTTTTGATATATATATTTTTTATTTAGTATAACGTGTCACTATCAGATGTGAGTAAACATACTAGAACACATTATTCTGTAAGAACCATCACATGGATGATAGACATGTTATATATTTTATAGAAACACACTTTTGGAGTTACACATTTTAAATATTTATGTAGGCTTCCCAGAATACCATATACTGCCCTGTTGTGCTATCTTGCTGGGCGTTCCTTATTTGATCCACTTGGACTACATTGTTTCATGTCAAGGAATTTGAAATTAAGTCATATATTATCGTAAACAGAGCAACTCAGTTACTAAACTATTGGTCACTTTAAACTTCAGAAACACTTATAGTGTTTGTAAACGTTTTTCTAATCTTCTGTTCAAACTGATTTAACGTAGCACGACCCGATACTTCCATATTTACCAGGGGATTTTAATATCGCCAAATGACCCTGACCTTAAACTAGTGTTAATCCGATTAGTGATAATACTTAACACGTATTAATGACGGGCTAATATAGGGACCTGTGTTGAATGCCCTTTAATCTTATTATTGGCCAATCAATATTTGAAAATAACAGATTTTCAAAATATTGAATATATTTAGATTACAGTTGATCCCGAGATTGAGAATGCAATTAAAAGCAATTTTCAACCATTTTTCCTTCATTTTACCGCAGCTCCCGATTTATAATGTCAGAACATAAAAAAAA